TATATATATAACGTTTTGAGGCCAGTCATCTTTGTGTCAGCTTAGGCTAGTGTGGGTTTATTGTTAAATGAAATACCAAAGCACACTAGGGTGGAATCAGGATTTAAACATATAACTGCATTCTCTAATATTGGGGAACTTGGGGAACTCCTCTCAGGCTTTCAGTTAGCCTTTTTTTTTAAAAAAAAAATCTACTTCCCCTTTGAGATCACCTGTCTAGAATCAAATTACTTAAAGCAGCTGTACTGTACAGTGTTGGGTGTATATAGGTGATGAGAAGCGGAGCTCTTACGCTCCAGATCACCCAGTTTCATTAGAGGTGCCATCAACATTACAAAGAATCGAAACAAATGTCATGCCTTTAACACTCCGTCCTCCAAGACTTCAGTTTCTTCCCTTCCACGCAAATCCCTGGAAACCAGATCCTGATACTGCCTGGCTATTACAGCTGCCTGTCCTCACAATTACATTTCTTCTTTGCCAGCCTCTGTATATGGGCTAATTCACATATATGTCTATGGATTATATACAACACACATACACCCTAGCGATAGCAAGCTGACATTTATAGCTCTCTCAAACATTACATTAAAGCTCTCTCCTTGCTTACATTGTTCCATCCTCTCTCCGGGTTCTAGTGCTGCTATTTTAGTTTGCTGAGTGACAAAAAAAAAACACATACCCTGGAGTTTTAGGAGGCACAGTTTTACATTTCTTTTTTGAAATATTCCTACACTCGGCTTGCTTACTTTATGGCAAAAAAAAAAATCAGAAATCTGATCTCTGTTTTTTTGGGTTTTTTTCCTCCACTTCTGCATCTCTAAGATAAACTTAAGCTTGGGAAAAACAGCTGCCTCTCACTTTCTTAACTTCCAGGCTAATGATTTTTGTTGGTTAATAGATTAAATTTGGTTTCAGAGTAGGAATAAGACGTTTTCTCCTGACGCAGGACACAGTCTGGGATTACTTCATGACTTAGAAGGGGCTTTGCTGCATGTTAGATTTCTTCTCAGTCTTTTTAGCCTCTTAACCTAAGGTTGTTTACTTTGAAAGTACATAGTGGATTTCCTTCTTATTCCTCCATAGGTTTCCTACTGACTAACATGTAAAATGCCAACACCCCTTCCCCCCACTTGTATAGGTTTTTGTATTTAATGACAGCATAACTTTTTCTACGAGTTTGATATTTAAATTCATTAATGACAAAAATAATGTGTGAAGAAAATTATTTTTTGTAATGGCTAAATATACCATTACTTCTATAAGCACTTAGAACTGAAAACAGTTCAAAACATTTTCTCTGTTTAAAAATCTCAGATGCTGTGAATTGGTGCTTAAGTGAAACTAAGAATTATGATTCTGAACTTTATTGCCATTATGTTAAGTGGGTCTGTTCAGTCAACAATAAAATAGCCTTAGGGAATACAAGTTAAAACTTAATTCTGCATGGTATAAAAAGCTTGCATATTCGTAAAATTATTATTATTTTTAATATATTTGTATTGATTTCAGAGAGGAAGGGAGAGGGAGAGAGAGATAGAAACATCAATGTTGAGAGAGAATCATTGATCGGCTGCCGCCTGCATGCTCTCACTGAGGATGAGCCTGAAACCCAGGCATGTGTCCTTGACCGGAATCAAACCCGGGACCTTTCAGTTCACAGGCCAACACTCTATGCACTGAGCCAAACCAGCTAGGGCTATAAAATTATTTTGATATTCTTTATTGCTCTGTCCATGGGAGGCAGATAATTTCCTACGAGAGCACAATACAGATCTATTCCCTGGTGCCCGCAGTATTTTAACTAGAAGTCACATGTCTGGTAATAAACGGAAGCCACATGAAGACCAGATTACACAGGACTTACCTGTAGGACTCCCTGTGACCCAGGCCTAGCTAACCTGAGTAATTATCCCAGCTCATCTCCCAGCCTCCTCCTCAGACCCCAGATTTAGCCCAAGAAACTCTGAAAGGCAAGCAGTTCATCCAGGTTAAGGGCCTCACACATCACTCGGGCTTGGAGTTGATCCAGTGGAGAAAGGCGTCTTGTTAAGAACTGAAGTCTGAGTCTAAGGAACATGTGCAGATTTGAAAAACTTTTCCAATTTTATTTTTCAGTTGCTGCCCACTCCTCCCTCCTCCCACCACACCTTGTTCCTTTACCTAGCTTAATCTTTCCCACAGCCCTTATCACCTGACATATTTAGACATTTGTTATGTGTTTTCATTCCCTGACTTTTTCTACTTAGAATGTAAGTTGCAGGAAGGTAAGATATTTTTGGTGGTTTTTCATTTTGGTTTGTTGAAGCATATAGCAAGAGCCTACGACACACACTGGACTTGATAAATATTTATTTAATTAGGGATTTTGGTGGCACCAAAAAGCATCGGTTAGCCATACAAGGGTACTCTAGGTCTCTCCATCCATGAAGCCTTCAGAGAGAATAATAAAGCAAGAGATAAGCTAACCCACAAAACCAGAAGCCATAAAATGGTATATTAAAATTACATATTCAAGTAAAGCCAGGAAAGCAAACGTTCATCTCTGAAGTTATGTTATAAGGCAGCGGTTCTCAACCTGTGGGTCGCGACCCCTTTGACGGCCGAACGACCCTTTCACAGGGGTCGCCTAAGACCATCCTGCATATCAGATATTTACATGACGATTCATAACAGTAGCAACATTACAGTTATGAAGTAGCAACGAAAATAATTTTATGGTTGGGTCACAACATGAGGAACTGTATTTAAAGGGCCAGAAGGCTGAGAACCACTGTTATAAGGGGAAGTGGGTCATGGCATGGACATAGTGGATGTTCACACAGAGTGTTTTCATTGGGTTAGGCTGGCAGACCTGACTTCCTCTGTATCTGGAGATACACATCCCCTGTTCACCATACTGCCCACTTCATTTCCTCACAACCTACACATGTCTGAGTGCCCCATAACACTTTGGCAACGTGTTCCTCAGAAGTGTTTTCTAGTTTCATGTTTTGTATATGCCTCCCTCCCTTTTGCCTCTAGGACAATGTGGTCTGTTTCATCCTTATTACGTCGGTCACAGAGAGATCAGGGAAGAGAAGATGAAACAGAACAGTTTTATTTTCTGTAGTTCCATTATCACGTTTTCCTGGGAATTGCTTTGAGACAGTTACCTAAATTAGGTTAATTTAATGGTCCATAGAATTAATTCTTGGCTGTCTTCTGTATCATTAATGATTCAGACGGGCTGTGTGTGGCTTTTTTTTTCCTTTCTCATCCTTTTGGCAATTCTATCTGTAGAATTGTTTTATTTATGTGTATGGATTCATAACAGAAGTGACATCTTTTGGAAGTGGCAATTCTGCAGGATAAAACATCCCCTGCACAGATGGGCGTATTGTTCTGAGGGGCGGAATGCGGTTTCACAAGTTGGATGTTTTAGGAGAGCCTGTTTACAGCAAATTGTAACAGAGGTGACAGAAATAGTGTCAAGCAGATGCTTCCTTCCTTCTCTCTTGCACTTTGGCTCTTAAACACATCACAGAGACACAGAGAGATGCAGTGCAAACAGTCCCATGCCCAACTATGAACCAAGGCCATCAGGATTTCTAGATTTCTCTTGTGGGATACAATTCTCCTATTTCATACATTTTAAGTGACCCTCCAAAATTTTTATCATTGAATTAAGAAGTCTTTAGAGTCATGGTGGTAAGTTAATTGATATGGTTATAAATTTAATTTGTCTCAGCTTCTGGTTATTTTATTTCCGTTCTAATGAGCTTCAGTATTACTAACATAGTAAATTTGATTATTAAAAATACATAATTTTTTGTTTTATTTTTCTTAAACAGGATTTAGTATTTTACCCCAACTTCCTTGAGTATTAGAGCAGCTGTGACAGATAATAGCTGTTCTCCATTAATTCTCTTAGTCAGTTTTTAGTTAAGTCCTTATTTTTTATTCACATGTTGCTATGCATTTCAGTGTGAAAAAAATGAGAAAAGGCGTGGTTGAGGAAGGAAAGTGGTCCTGAATTTGATCTTTATTTTTTCGTAATCGGTTTCCCATATATTTTTATGAACAAACAAAGCAATATGCATTTGTATTTATAAACATGACACTTCTGTTACAGCAGAGCTGAAAGGAAAAACAGTTATTTTAAGATGGTTTGTTTCTTTGAGAGCTTGGTCTTAAGGTTCATATCACAATTCTGTGAAAAGTATTATGACTTTAATCATGTATTGAGTGATCAAATAAGTGATATAGAGGGTGTTTTGGTGAAGATTTTGGTAGTGGTATAGCATTAATGCTATTAATCTTGCATATACAAATACAGCATGAGATCAGTATGGAAATGAATGTGCATATATGAAAATGCCATTGAGTATATTTTATAAATTAAAATTTGGGAATTTAGGGAACTTCATGATTCAAGTTTGATGGGAAAAAACTGTGGCAAATAATTGTATTTTGTGTGTACATCCAGCAAGAATCTTTTAAGATTGGCAGCCTTTTATAAAAGTACTAGAGGCCTGGTGCACGAAATTTGTGCACTGCGGGGGGGGTGTCTCTCAGCCCAGCCTGCACCCTCTCTAATCTGGGACCCCTCGGGGTATGTCTGACTGCTGGTTTAGGCCCACAGGGATCGGGCCTAAACCGTCAGTCGGACATCCCTCTCACAATCGGGGTGTGCTGGCTCCCAACTGCTTGCCTGCCTGCCAGCCTGATCACCCCCTATTCACTCCCCTGCCAGCCTGATTGACACCTAACTGCTCCCCTGCTGGCCTGATCGCCCCCAACTGCCCTCCCCTGCCGGCCTGATCACCTCCAACTGCCCTCCCCTGCCGGCCCGGTCACCCCCAACTTCCCTCCCCTGCTGGCCCAGTTGCCCCCAACTGCCCTCCCTTTCCTGCAGGCCATCTTGTGCCCACATGGGGGTGGCCATCTTGGACAAGGGCGTGACTGTCAATTTGCATATTACCTCTTTATTATATAGGATAGAAAACATACTTGAAAAACAGTTTCCCTTTCCCTCAGGAATTATAGCTCCATAATGTAGTATCCGTGTCTGCACCCTTTCCCAGTGCACTGCATTAAACTAGTGTATGCCTTTCATGGGTGGAAACTACCTTTTCCTTTGCAAGTTGGTATTAAGATGTTTAGTGGTGTTATATTTTTCATTATTTTGATAATGTTATAAAATGGCCATAAAGAAAATTCTTTTGTAAATACTTTGTATAATAGTTAAAATTAAATAGTTTAATTTTCTTTAGAAAATTCTTTCATAATGTCATCTGAAATGAGTGAGAATAGAAAATTTCTGATGCTGTCACATTGACATCAGTGAATTGGTCTGATGGTGACAGCAATACATATTATAGCACTTTCTGTGGAACTCCGTGTGTACTCCTGTTATCAAATGCACTGACTTTTCATTTGTAATTTTGTTTTACTGTATAAAGAGTTGCTGTAATTGTTTAAGGATCTGAGTTTAAATCTCACTTGATTCACTGGGAGTTATATTTAGAGACTTAACCTTATTACTTTAATTGTTGTCAGGCAATACCTCTTCAGATGCTCAGAATGATTTTTTTACCATCCCTAACATGAATAGAGGGATAGTAAGTAGAGGGATTCTTGGGAAGACAAAATTCCATTTATTTACGAGAAAATTTTTTCAATTGGTCTATCTAGTTGTTTATGCCGCGGTCTCTATCAATAGCTAAACATTGTCAACTTGACATATCATTTAACATTTTTCTTACCCTTAGATTGTCATAATGGAAGTGCAAGGTTTGAAGTCAGTCGCTCCCAATCGAATTGTTTACTGCACAATGGAAGTAGAAGGAGGAGAGAAACTGCAGACAGACCAGGCAGAAGCCTCAAGGCCACAGTAAGCCAGCTAAAAACCATGTGTTTTTCTTTTCCTCCCAAAGGAACAGGCCTTTACCGGTATTTGCACAGTTGTATGGTTTGACACTCTTAAAGGTTTACTTGGCTAGCTTTGTGTCAACTGTATTAAAGTCAGTGTGTGCCTTTCTGGATAATAATATTACAATTAGAACTGTAGCAGAATCCCCTGTAGTACAAACAGAAAATCCAACATGCAAATGTGAAGGTATAGTAGCAATAAAAGTCATTTATATAGCATGTGCTGTCATTATATGTTATTTCAAAGAGAGTACTTCATCCTGTTTCAGTTATCAGAATTATAATCCAACTAGAGGTCAGATGCACGAAATTCATGCACTCGGGGAGAGGGGCATCCTCTCACAGTCCGGGAGCCCTTGAGGGATGTCTGAATGACGGCTTTGGCCCGCTCCCTGTGGGCATTCGGACATCCTTAGTGCGGCCATGGAGGCAGGAGAGGCTCCCGCCACCGCTGCTGTGCTCACCAGCCATGAGCCCAGCTCAGGGCTTCTGGCTGAGCAGCGCTCCCCCTGTGGGAGCACACCGACCACTAGGGGGCAGCTCCTGTGTTGAGTGTCTGCCCCCTGGGGTCAGTGCGCAGAGCTCTGTGGTGAAGTAGAGGGAGCTACCACGATTGTGCACAAGGATTTGGAATGCTTTAGGGGTAGGCTTGAGTTAGAGAACCTGTTAGTAACTACTGTGCAGTAATCAGAGGAAAAGCTGTTCTTTGCTGGCTGTCTTATGTTTCAAATTCTGGGGATGAGTTTAATTAAGTTTGGAAGATGTTCAGTTTAGCTGATTTCAATATGGGAAACTTCAGTCGCTGGTAGAAATAGCGAGACTGGCCTGAGGAATTCAATTGAAACTTGCCTGGCCTTCATTTGTACACTAACTAACTTTCGAAATAACTTCTCTTTCTTCCACTTGAACTTTATTCAGATTTTCTTGCAGGATTTAGGATTTGTACCTTCTTACGGAATCGATATATGTGGCCTGTTCATTCTGTTGCGGTTCTGGGTAGACACTGGTTATACCCCGAAGAGGAAGGTGAACAAGAAACTCATTTTCTTTAGGACAGGCACAGTCTAAGGGGTGGATACAGAGGGTTAAATGGAACAGGAAAATGTGCACAGAATCTTAAGGGCTTGAGCAGAAGGAAGTTGAAACTTCTCACCTGGCCTTACACACCCCTGCAAGTCTGTCCCTGACCAGTCTCATTAGCTCTGGGACCTCACCTTGTCCCTTTCTTCCCTGGTCCACTATTACTCAGCCACCCTGGACTTCATGCAGTTCCTCGGATGTGTCCACCTATTTTCATCCTTGCGCCTGCTTTTCCCTCTGGCTGGAGTCATCTTTCCTTTTATCTTTTCTGGCTCGATCCTTGGTAGCGAGAATCTTAACTTACACACCACTTCCTGAGAACAGCCCTTCCCTTTGGTTCATCCAACAGGAAGCAGGTATTTTCTGGCTCATCACTTCTAAATGTTTACACAAATGTCTGTCCTGGCTGTTTATTTTGCATTGTTGTTTTCACTTGAGAAAAGGGGGTCTTGTCCTATTTGCTTCTATAGCCTAGTGCCTGTTGGCACACATTCAGAATTTGTTAATTCAACTGTTTGAACTTACCTTAGTGGTTATCCATAGTAAATATTTAACAGTGTGGTGTTGACTCCTGTGCCATATAGAGTTGATTTACAGTGTGACAGTGAAGTGAAAGGAATGGGGATCAACAATTCGTTAAGAGGCAAACACCTCCCAAGAGGAGGCTGTGAGAGTACATATGGAGTCAGGGAGGGGTTTGGGGTATGTTTGTTTTAAAGGTCGGCTGTTTTACTATTGCAATGTATATTAGCTATTCACAGAGCAGTGCAACCACAGTCCATTTTGAAACATCTTTGCCACCTTAAAAAGAAACTCTGTACCTTTTACTTATCCACCTCAAGTCACCTCAGCCCTAAGCAACTATTAATTGACTTTCTGTTTCTATAGATTTGCCTATTCTGGACATTTTCACATAAACAGAGTCATATGATACGTGGTCTTTTTGTGATTGGCCTCTTTCACTTAGTATAATGTTTTTAAGATGTATCCATCTGGTAGAATATGTCAGGAGTTCATTTCTTTTCATGGCTGAATAATATCGCATTATATCTATACACCACATTTTGTTGATCCATGCATCTAGGCCAGCAATTTTCAACCTTTTTCATCTCATGGCACACATAAACTAATTACTAAAATTGCACAGCACACCAAAACATATATTTTTTGCCAATCTGACAAAAAATAGGGATAATTTTGATTCATTCACACCAGATGGCTATTGTATCTGGCTGTTGTCATTTTTTTTACTTTGACAGTCTAAGGAAAAGAGGTCAGTGCCCCTGACCAGTCAGGCATTGCATGGTTTAAAAATTCTTTCCGCACACCTGCTGAAAATCTCTGATCTAGGCTAATGATACTTGGATAGTTTCCACCTTTTGACTACTGTGAATAATGCTGCAAATTAAACTGAGTGTACGAATATCTGTTTTAGTACTTGTTTTTAATTCTTTTCAGTGTAAAGCGAGCAGTAGAATTGCTGAATCATATATAATTCTACATTTATTTATTTATTTATTTTGGAGGAGGTTTTCTTTATTATTTTTTTATTGATTGAGATATTACATATGTGTCCTTATCCCCCCATTGGCCCACCCCCCACACTCATGCCCTTACCCTCTGGTGTTTGTGTCCGTTGGTTAGGCTTATATGCATGCATACAAGTCCTTTGGTTGATCTCTCCCCTTACCCCCACCCTCCACTACCTTCCCTCTGAGGGTTGACGGTCTGATCCATGCTTCTCTGTCTCTGGATCTGTTTTGTTTTTTGTTTTTTTGTTTTTTATCAGTTTATGTTGTTCATTATATTCCAAAAATGAGTGAGATCATGTGATATTTATCTTTCTCTGACTGGCTTATTTCACTTAGGCTGTTTCCAAATATTAGCTATGATAAATTGTGCTGCTATGAACAAAGGGGTGCATATATCCCTGATTGGTGTTTCTAGTTTCTTATTTTTTAAAATATCCACCAAAATGCTTTTCCTAATGACTACACCTTATTTTCCCACCAGGGTTATATATATGAGAGTCAAATTTCTTCACATTCTCAACAGTGCTTGTTATTTGAATTAAAAAATACAGATAGCTAGCCCAAGTGCCCATCAGTAGACGACTGGATAAAAAAGCTGTGGTACATTTACATCATGGAATACGATGCACCTGTTAAAAAGAAGGATCTCTTATCCTTTGAAACAGCATGGAGGGACCTGGAGAGTATTATGCTAAGTGAAATAAGCCATTCAGAGAAAGACAAGTATCACATGATCTTGCTTATATGTGGAATCTAAAGAACAAAATAAACTGATGAACAAAATAGATGCAGAGACATGAAAACATGGAACATACTAATAAATCTCAGAGGGAAGGTGGGGGTGGGTGGGTGGGAAGAGATTAACCAAAGAATTTGTATTCATATATGCATAACCCATGGACAGAGACAATAGTGTGGTGAAGGCCTTTGTCAGGGGAGGGCTAGAAGAGGTCAGTGGGGAAAAAAGGGTGCAACTGTATAACTTTCAACAAAGATAAATATAAATATAAATATAAATATATAATTCTACATTTATTTATTTATTTATTTTGGAGGAGGTTTTCTTTATTATTTTTTATTGATTGAGATATTACATATGTGTCCTTATCCCCCCATTGGCCCACCCCCCACACTCATGCCCTTACCCCCTGGTGTTTGTGTCCGTTTGTTAGGCTTATATGCATGCATACATATAAGAGAGAGAGAGAGAGATGGACATATGGAGATTAGATATAGATTAGATATATAGATGATTCAGATATAATCTTCATCCTAGTAAGCGTGAAGTGGTACCTTGTTGTGGCTTTGATTTGCATTTCCATAATGACTAATGATGTTGAACATATTTCTACATATTGTATTAGCCATTTGTATATCTTCTTTAGAGATATGTCTATTCAAGTGTTTTGCCCATTTTTAAATTGAGTTATCTTTTGGTTGTTAATTATAAGAGCTGCTTATATAACTCTAGATCAGCAATTTTCAACTGGAGTGCCACAAGAATTTTTAAAACATACAATGCCTGACTATTTAGTCAGGGGCACTGACCTCTTTTCCATTAGATTGTCAAAGAAAAAATTGACAACAACAAAAAGAAAGGAAAAAAAAAGGTCATAATAATAGAGTCGCATCTTATTGGTTATGTAGCATAATAAGATTGCACCTGATATCGTTAATTCTTGGTACTAGAATTCCTTACATACATTTTTTAAAAGTCACTTTGGCCCTGGCCGTGTAGCTCAGTTGGTTAGAGCATTGTTGTAATACACCAAGGTTGTAGGTTCAATGCACAATCAGGAAGTATACAAGAATCAACCAATGAATGCGTTAGTAAGCGGAACACAAATTGATCTCTCTCTCTCTCTCATTCCTCTCTGTAAACTCAATCATTCAATAAAAAAAAATTTTAGAAGTAACTTTGGAGCAAAAGAGTAGGTAATTATTATTTATTTTGTAAATGAATCAAAATTATACTTATTTTTGGTGTGCTGCATAATTTTAGTAATTAGCTTATGTGTGCCACGAGATGAAAAAGGTTGAAAATTGCTGTTCTAGATACTTGACCCTTATCACATGTATTATTTTCAAGTGTTTTATTTTATTCAGAGGATCTTTTATCTTCTTAATATATTGTCTTCTGAAGCATAAAGTTTTAAAGTTTTGATTAAGTCCAATTTATTTATTTTTTCTGTGTTACTTGTGCTTTTGTATCATATCTAAAAATCCAGTGCCAAATCCAACATCACAAAGATTTATCCCTACGTTTTCTCCGAAGACTTCTATAGTTTTATCCCTTACATTTAGGTCATTGATCTATTCTAAGTTAATTTTTGTACATGATCTGATGTAA